TTATTATTTACCTAGTAAAACGATCTAAATTAAAACCAAAAGTCATAAGCGATTATGATTACGGTTCAAAATCCAAGTGTGTTGTTCGCTTATTCCATAAGAAAACAGTCTTGTACAATTATTCAATGCCATCTCCCTTAATTGTGTATCTCGAGGAAACTGCAGGAGTTGTGTTGAAAATTTAAAATCCACGTTTCAGAACACGTTGACTTTCTTTCCTTTGAGTTTGTTCTTAGAAATAACGAGCGCTAGAGACGCTTTACTGAACTGTGGAACAGTCCTACATTCTATTCTCCAGTTAGATATCATACATCTATAGTGTTTTGTTGTTGTGGAAATAGACGAAGAATGGTTAAGATATTTTACTTACTACAAATTAAGTTCACTTTCCCGTACATTGACAAAAATGTTTAGTCACTTACTTTACATAAAAAAGTAAGGCAGGGCAGATAATGTACCATCCTAGACTGCATCTTACTTAACACCAGGTACGATTGCGGTCAAATACCTGCCTTGTCCTGCATAAAAAAAATAAAAAAGTGATTTGTGAACTGAGTTCCTATAACCAAACCAAGTTTAACTCACTACAAAATATTTGTTTAAACACAACATTTTATTCCTCGTTACCAAAGTAAGTTGTAACCTCCAGTTTGCAAGTCACTTTTTTGTGTAAGCAAACCATTTTTTTTCCAGTGTATTCATTTAATGAGGTTTTGTTTTGTGGTCTCAAAGGACAACACAAAAATCATAACAATATTTTAATGAAATCGTGCGATTTTATCGACAATAACGCATCAGTCTATATCAATGTTATGATAGCAATTAAATAAAAAAATGATACGTGTGCGACAGATAAATGGATTTATAATTCATGTGCCCAAAGCCTTGCTTATTACGTGCACAAAATAATATCTTACGTGTATCTCATATTCTCATGGTAATGGTAGCAAACAAATAATATTCCATTTCAGCAGCAAAGAACTCGCAAATAGAAGGGCACTTAATTGAACGACGATGTTATTGCTTAGTTTGTTAATAAGGTACATTATTACGAAAAGAATACGAGTTAAAACATATTTCCTTGGCCGAATAACGTGTCATAGTTGAGGTGATGCAGTAAGGCCACTTCCCTCAGTCTTTTTCTTCTTCTATCATGAAGGTTAAGACAAGGGTTTCCACGACTGTCGTGTTTAGGATTCAAAATCCAAATTCAAACGGATCGGTTTTTTACGGGACACTGCAAACGGGATGTTTGTGTAAATGTTAATTATTAAAACGTAGGATTCTGCAAAAGACAGTTCCTGCAAAAGACGGATGTCTCCATACAGGTTTACAGCCCTAATGTGTAGTACATAGTGTACCGCCGAATGCATCTGTCATGTCACAGATCATGGATGTGATTGGAGCCAATTTGCACAATAACTTTTTGATACATTAATTGCCTGTTAAATTTAAGATCCAAGGTCGAATGTGTAGACGCGGTAAGAGAAATACTCGTAGTGAAAGAACGAGTGAAAAGAAGAACTACTTTTTTACAAATAAACTCACTGCACCTTGTCCTTTTGCGCTCGCTTGGTGTGATACAGATAATGCCGGGAAAGGGCGTCCCGCGGGAATAGCGCTAAAATGCTGCTTAGCACAATGAGGGCTATCGTTTTTATTCTTAACAGTTAGCACCCCAGGCGATTGACAGGACCTTACTCTACAGTGGCACCATCTTGATAAGTGCAAATGCGATAGTCCTCCTACCACTTTAGCGCTCACCGGTTGGTGCCACTGTCTTCGCTACTAGCAAGTGACAGGACCTTACTCTACAGTGGCGCTAACTGGCGAGCGCTAAAACGGTAGCCCTCCTTACGGTACTTTTCGCGAATGCACTGTAAGACTGCCAGCAAAACTACATAATTTAAGTCGGCCGATAGTTGGGCCCGATTCTAATTTATATGAAGAATCGGCCGATATCAATGTGCGCACTTTCATATACATATGTCCATAATGATTAACAGCCCGACCCAACTATCGGCCGACAAAAAGTCTGTACCTAGGCTGCGGTTACTCTAAGTATTCTTGGTTGTCAAAGAACCTTTCCACTGTTACATACCTACAGATACCTAGTCAATAAATATCACATGCTTGGACAAATCTCACCGATTTGAACAAGCATAGGGACTTATTTACACCATATTAAATATTTTCAGTTTTTAACCCCTAATTGCTGTTGTTTTAGTCTCTAACGCATGATGTTTTCACCTTTAATTAAGTTTGCATTTAACAAGTGTCATTTTTATAGTTACTTTTGTGAAGCCTCAATGTAACCTTGTTGGTGCTCAAATAAATAAATAAAATAAAAACTAAAAGTGATTGAAAATTTAAACGTCACCTGAAAGCACCAAAGTGCGTGTGAAACACTCAAATCGATTTTATCGAGTCTGTCGCGAGACCGTCATTGTCGTGCGCGTATTCCCTTCCAAAAACCGGAATAAAAACTATTCTGTTTTTACTTAGGTCTCAAACGTTTTAATCAAATTACATCCAAATATATTCAGTGAGTTATATGCGTGAAAAAGTGTCAAACGTCCATCCATCTCCACCAACTTTCTCATATAAATAAATAAATAAATAAATCTTTGGACAATTTCACACAGCGCCAGCTAGCCCCAAAGTAAGCAACTAAATGCTTGTGTTATGGGTGCTAGCTTAACGGATATACTACTTATGTATATACTTTTTTTTAAATACATACATATTATACATAGTCACACCCAGACCCATATCAATATGATAGGAAGTAGGAAGTACCCAAGGATAATATTCAGGCGCCATTTTAGCCGCCTTCGAGAAATATCACGTGAGACGTAGTTAGCGCTCCCAGTAATGAGAGCACTCCTGAGCGGGGAACACTAACAGCACAACAATCATACACGCGATAATAAGGAGTTGTGTCCTATCTTCTTTGCAAGGAAGGTAACAGGTTTGGGTTCCCACAAAATTGTAGGTACACACACAATGAAGTCTTCATTCAAGGAGCATCATAAAGAACGAGTTCCTACTTTTTTATCCAGCAACAGTTATCTTTTTGAAGTTGCTCCATCCAATAGGGGGACATATCTTACAGAAGGTGTGAAAGAGCACCACTTTTCGTAAGTAAAATATTACGTAGCCTGTATCAAACTTTTGTATGTATGGCATTTTTTGTAATTATTGACGTCGTAAAATAGGAGATTGAAAATGAAATTAGTGTACCCAAAACTGATTAGTTTTCCTAGTAGGTAAGGGATCAGAAACAAACCGGTTCGCTAAGCAAGTATATACTTCGATGGGTGCCTGGAATAAAGCCGCAATCGACAAAACGCAATTTTACAGGAGAAGAGATTTAGTGAAATTTTTGAATAATAACTAAACTACGAGGCGTATCCAAATGGTTTGTATATCAAACGATGCGTTATTTTTTCTGGAGTAACATATAATGTGCATAAGGTTATAGTGCTTAGAATATACCTTAAAAAAAAGGTAGAAATACATATTGCCGCTTCATACTTTGAAAGTCGGTTCCGTAAGAGTCCATTGTGGTTTTATTCCGGTAAAAAGTGCAAAAGTAATCATACAGCAATAGTGCATTGCAGCGTTGTGCGCTGATCTGAAGGATGTATGGCGAATACAGTAATAGCGGTTTGCTTGAATTAAATGATCGACTTGGAAAATGTACTGGTGAATGCTGTGTACATTATATGTTCATATGGTCCGTATCGAAATGAGTACAAAGTTGAATATCTAGAGTGTTTCGTTNAAGGTTCCACCTCGAAATCAAAAAAATCAAAATCGTAGTCATTTGGCGTATTTTTGTGATGATATTATTAATATTTAGATGCAATGAAAAGTTTAATTGTATGTTCCATCTGTGTGGATCTCATCATCTTTTGTTTCATGTGACTAAAATAAAGCCAAAAAATCAATCAACATCAAAAATATTTTATTCAAATTTGACCAGTGTTTTGGCACTTATGAATGTCAAAGATAACTTAAAAAAAACCGACCAATCACCAAGTGCGTGTCGGGCGGGGGCCACGCGTAATGTAGGGTTCCGTAGTTGTTGTCCGTCGTTAACACAATATATTTTAGAAGCAAGCAATTACTTCATCTAAAGTAACTTTTTGTATTTTCTTCTAATGAATTTTTATTAGTTAAGTTAAATGTTTTGTGTCTACTGATATTTTGGTGAATTAGTTGACTTTTAAGATATAATATCTAATAAAATTTGATAATGATTGTACTTACAAATTTAGGCAAATTCAATGTAGGTATAGAATCTTTGTGCAGTTTTCTCTGTTTCGTAGAATTGGCATTGTAGCATTCTTCCGCAAAATGAATGCTACAAATGCAGTGGTTTTTAGTTGAAATCCACGTATTTTGTCTTCTGACTGCCTCTATCCACTTTCTCCTTCTATTTGGATCCACTGGAAATCTAAAATTAATTTGAATAATTTCAGTTTCAGTTTGTTTGGTATATCGATAAACTTATCGACATTTTTCAAGCCCTTTACGTCATAAAAAATGAGATGTGAATGAATGAATGAAACCTATAATCCAACCAAATTAAATATGCTACATGTTTTAAGCATTTACATGTACAATGAGTACTTTTTAAAATGACGTAATCATATTTTGTTTACATATCAAATTTTATTTATTTTACGAAAAAATAGCTACTATAATAGATTTAAAATGTACTTACGCGTGATAAGAAACATTTCTTGTGTGACCGGAATAATTTTTGCAATAAAGTACTGTAACACCTTTACCATGTCTTATGCAAATAAACTATTATCATTATCATTGAAAAACGGAAAAACGGAACGGAAAATTCCAAATATGTAGGAGGAACATAAATAGACTTACTTATACGTAAAATAACGTCTCCCATCACCTGCATAAATGAATCGAAACGCATAACATTTCCAACTTTCATCTTAAACTCAAACAAAGACTTTTACGAGGAGCTAATGAACGAAAATATCAAAGGAGGCGAGAAAGAATTTCATTACCAAAGGTATTTCCATAAGAACGCGGTAAACACAGAGTCATTAACAAAAAAGATGTGGCGGGACGAGTAGAAAGAGAATTGGTTGAAATCGCTCGTGTTGCGTGAATATGCGCATGAGTTGACGCGCACGTGTTGATTCCTAAAATAACGATCATTTGTAACAACAGCGGCTGTCGGGAACGGCATCAATCTTCGATGACTAATTAGGCGATTTTGTTCTCACCAAGAGTTCAGTTTTTTTATGTTTATTGTATGCGAATTAGGCATATAAAGGAATTTGACGTTATTTTTGTTCCTCGTTACAATAAGCGTATTTAGACTGCATTTGGAGTGAGATGTATTTCGACATAGAGTCCTGTATTTGTCTCAATAATAGTAGTTAACTAGCTTGTTGAGGAATGAGGTGTAATATGTAGTAACTCAACCAACAGACGTCTTCCTGATCTAAGATCTTTACATATTATTCTTTAGGAGCTCCTTTCCTCACCTTTGGTTTACGATTTTCAGCAGGTATCTAAATGTAGCGGCGAGGCCCCCAAACTGCACATCGGCGCGACTATCCCTCCACCCTCTGGTCTACCGTAAGCTAATCCACTGGGAGAAGCTGACTTCCTTACCATCTTTCCAGGCCGAAAGCCGCTGCAACCAATGCTTGGTGAGCGTCTGCACGTCGTGCAGCGAGGCACACGGCCGGCAGAAGGCGACGGCCAGACATTCCTTGCACCCACTGGACCCACTGCCGCCCAAGTACTGCAGCCAGCATCCAAGAGCTGAGCTCACGGTGTACTGCGCCACTTGTCAGCAGGTAAACAGTAGTATTTAGGTATCCAATCCCAACTAATATTATAAATGCGAAAGTAACTCTGTCTGTCTGTCTGTCTGTTACGCTTTCCCGCTTAAACCTCGCAACCGATTTAGATGAAATTTGGCATAGAGATAGTTTGAGTCCCGGGAAAGAACATAGGATAGTTTTTATCCCGGTTTTTGAAACAGGGACGCGCGCGATAAAGTTTTTCTGTGACAGACAAAATTCCACGCGGGCGGAAAGCTAGTTTATACATATGAGGGATTTGGTTGAGGTCCCTTGTGTTGCTGCCAAAATGGAACAACTGAGTTTGACAGACCACAGCAGCAAAGTACGAGAAGAACAGAATGAAATTCGCTACTGGAATATTCCAAAGAATCAACTGACTGAACTAGCATCAAGTGATGCTTTGGATTCACTAGCTGTACTCTAGTTAGAGGCAAGATCTAGCTAGATTAGATGACATACCTATCTACACAAAGTTGCTGGCAGTGGTAGAAAATCCATTATTTTGACTGAGCTGTGAGAATGACGTGGTCTAATATAAAAAGATTTATCACAATCAACCAGTGAAGACATCAATGTAACTTGACGTTGTTAAGTCTACTACCCTTCTCTTACCTTCCCAGGTAGTCTGCCGCGACTGCTGCCTCGTGTCCCACTCAGGGCACGCATTAGCGAATGCTGCACGGGCGGCGGCGGAACGCGCTCGTCTACTCAGAGACGCGTGCGAGAGGGCCAAGCATGTTCCCGAGAATGTTGAGAGGGCCGTGAGGATACTCAGCTCGACTGCTTTTGAAGCTGATGTAAGTGGCAAATAAACAAGATGATATCATACTTCATGCATGAATAATACTATGAACTATCATCTTCGAATCGGTTAGCCCAACATCCTGTAGGCCTAGGATGCGCGCCGCGATAAGCGGTTATTACGCCATTTTATCGATTTTGCCCAAACATTTTGACGTCGATAAAGTATATCACGGCGCGCATTCTAGCCCGGCTGGAGTGGGCACCAGACCATCCCGTGACATAGCCTTCGTGGACGACTATAATATTCTGTCCGATGTGTGAGCAATAAAACGTTTTTCATAGATTCGTCCAGTGGTGTTCTCATGAAGGACTGACAATCAATCTTCTCTTTTCTTATTATATTTTACGGTCGAATCTGAAGTTCGTTGTTTTATTGAGTTTACAAAAAAATGGGATTAAATATAGAAAAATAGATCACTTATTTCACTTTCAGTCCCAAGCAGCCCGTGTAGAAAGCGAAGTCCAAGCGTGGGCAGATCAGTACCGGCGGGCAGTAGAGGCCCACGGTCGGGCGGTGTGCATGGCCGCAGCCAGAGCCCGCGACCGCTACCGGCAGAGGGTAGACGAGAAGACACGGGAGCTGCATGATAGGGCGCAGCACGCGGTTGACGCTGTGAAGTTTGCTGAGGAGGTAATTAATAATCTTGACTTGAGCCATTTGCCAGTACCCAACAAAAATATCGGTGATGTATGAGACGACGCGAGAGCTGCCCGATAGCAGGAGGATGATGTTTTGAATTTGCTGAGGATGTAAGAACAGCAGTATAGGCGGGCAGTGGAGGCCACGGTCGGGCGGTGTGTATGGGCGCAGCCAGAGCCCGCGACCGCTACCGGCAGAGGGTAGACGAGAAGACACGGGAGCTGCATGATAGGGCGCAGCACGCGGTTGACGCTGTGAAGTTTGCTGAGGAGGTAAGTCTTGACTTGAGCCATTTTCCAGTACATACCTAACAAAAATATCGGCGGTGGATGAGACGACGCGAGAGCTGCCCGATAGCAGGAGGTTGATGTTTTGAATTTTGCTGAGGATGTAAGAACAGCAGTATAGGCGGGCAGTGGAGGCCCACGGTCGGGCGGTGTGCATGGCCGCAGCCAGAGCCCGCGACCGCTACCGGCAGAGGGTTGNACAGTTTGTTTCGGGGAACAAAGCCGCAATGGCCGTTACTTGTAGAAGTTTGAAATAAAACTTTTAACATTGAACATGCCACGATTATTCTGGTAAACAAATTTCCGGGAATAACGATTCAATATCCATAGTGCTTTTGGTAAATCAGCCAGTTTCAAAGATTAAATTCTGAAAAAAAATCACAAGGTGTATAGGGACCCCCAGATTACAAAAATCGCTTAATCGGAAAACTGCTGCTATGGCTATTGCGGCTTTATTCCAGGCACCCATCGACTTTATCTAATAGGCTGGTTTTAGTGTCACGCGGACTGTCAGTGCGGATCGCTCCGCACAACCGATTTGTATGAACTGCTAAGGAGCGGAGCGGTTCCTCCGGACCGCATTACTCTAAAACGCTCCCTAGAAGTTCATACAGATTGGCCGTGCGGAGCGGGTCCGCACCGGACGGTCCACTAAAACCAGCCTTAAACTTTCAGCTTTTCAGAGTTACTTTAGTTGAAAACTGCTTACCCTGAATCACAGCACAAACACAAGAAATATGATCCCATGTCCCCGCAAACGGAAAGAAAATTCATGCTCCCTTAAACTGTATGCAAAAGTTATTCTCCAGAAAGTCAGTCAAAGCCTTTTACAAAGTGTAACCACAGAGGCATTGGACCAATCAATTTTTTTTCAATTTCAAAATATCTTTATTTCGTAAAATAATATTACATTAAAACAGTTCTAGTGTACATTTTTAATCCTAGGCTGTTATAAAAAGTAACATTTAACTGTTTTTAAGCTAATTCGCTTGTTAAAAACTTATGAAATTATACATTTTATCTATATTTACGAATCGTAAACTGTATTAAGAATTTATTTATAACAATAAATATTTGCCTATGTAAGCTTTAGTTAAGCATTACATTTGTTAGCATGTTTTTAATTATTGTAATACAATGGAATAAAACCAACAGATAAACAGGCATTGGACCGCCTCATCCCGGATTTGAGCTTCCTGGTTTAACGGAACTTGTGTGGATAGAAAGATTTAATTGAAATATGTTGCTTTATACATGAGCTGAGCATGAATGGAAAATACGTGGAATGGAGGCCGCGTACCGGAAAACGCAGCGTGGGACGTCCACCTACAAGGTGGACCGACGACATCGTGAAGGTAGCAGGGAGGCGCTGGACGTAGGCTGCTACCAATCGATCAACGTGGAAAGCATTGGGGGAGGCCTATGTTCAGCAGTGGATGTCCTATGGCTGAAATGATGATGATGATGATGACGTGAGCATGCGTGCTATGATGATGGAGTCTTTTCTGTAGTAGTCGTTTTGTATGGCTCAATCGGACCGACTTAACGTCGCTCCTTCACCTTAATTTAGTCAGCACCGTGTAGTAACTATGCTCACGTGACAGTGGCAAACTTGGAAACTGTACGGCTAGCACGATAAACTTTCGAGTTCAAATCGTTTGCGTACTCGAATCGCCATCAAAAGATTTAGCAAGAAAACTACAACATCGCCCTTGTGAACGTGTCGTAAAGTGAACTTAGTATGAAATGTGAAACTTATTTTGAGAATCAAAATTTGTCACGTTATCGTTTAATTCGAAAATTGAGTGGTATCGAATTTTATCGAATACGCAAACGATTCGAAGACGAAAGTTGTTCATGCTAGAGGTACAGGGGGCCTAGTGTGAGTTTACATCAAACGTATTCGATATTGAGTGCTTCAAAAAATGTCATTAAATGTATGACGGATTAAACAGCGTCCCTAGCGGTTACTTTCAAGAACTAAAATCTTCATAGATTTTTGACGCACGTTAATACGTTTGATATAAACTCACACTAGGCCCCCAATCACTATAATGCCGGTTGCAGACCAAGATTATTAAGTTAAAAGCTTAGCTCGCATAGCTGACGAAGATTTTCATTGTGTTTGTAATTTGCAGTTTGCACACAAACATAGCAACCGGGCAGCATGGAAAACATTGGGGGAGGCCTATGCTCAGCAGTGGACGTCCTATGGCTGAGATGATGATGATGACACAACTATAGAAAGCTACGGCAGCTAGGCGAGCTAAACTAAAGTAACATAGTAGCTCTCGATCTCGTTTAAGAATGAAGCTTGAAGAATTTGAAGATGAAGAATAAAGGGTCTCCAAAGTGGACAATGAGGTTGATTCAATTCAGCAGTCCCAAATAAACTGGGAACGGTTTCACAAACAGATTCTTATATCTATGTGTCCCATCTGAGGATTGAGTCCATAGTCTGCGGTGATATAGGAAAATAATCAAGGTTGCTTTAAAGTAAAGCAAATACGAAAAAATATTACGAAACACAAAAATATAGTGTGAACAATAGTGTGAACATAAAGCTCCAAAAAATAGGTCTTATACCATGACGAATGATTTTAATTGACGTGCTATTATTTGCCTATTTAACAATGACAAACACTGCCAGGGAAGTTTAACTAAAATATAATCTTGGCAATTTTTTCTGTCTAGCTTTTTATTATATGTTACATAATTTCCAATTACATAACATAATGTCAATCAATCTCGTATATGATACAATCAACAAAAAAGGAAAACTGGGTCATGTCCTTGCCCACTTTCGATTAAAACAAAATCTACCAATTCGAAACTCTGATCCACCAATTAAAATGTAAACGTTTTTCTTAAACTAATAAACGTCACAATGTATCTGGTTAAAACACGGCCTCGTAATCATATTGGACGGATTCCAAGTCTTGGCGAGTTACGGGTAAACTGGGGTTAGGGTTGCCAGGTCGAAACCCAAAAGCCGGACTCGGTGCTTAATTTGTCCGGACATTTTACACTAAAAGCCGGACAATTTTCGGAAAATAATCTATACTAATATTATAAATGCGAAAGTAACTCTGTCTGTCTGTTTGTCAGTCTGTCTGTTAGTCTGTCTTTTTGTCTTGCTTTCACGCATAAACCACTGAACCGATTTTGATGAAATTTGGCAGGGAGATAGTTTGAGTCTCGGGAAAGAACATAGATAGATTTTTATCCCGGTTTTTGAAACAGGGACGCGCGCGATAAAGTTTTTCTGTGACAGATAAAATTCCACGCGGGCGAAGCCGTGGGCGGAAAGCTAGTGTTTAATATATTAGCTTTCCGCCCGCGGCTTCGCCCGCGTGGAATTTTGTCTGTCACAGAAAAACTTTATCGCGCGCGTCCCTGTTTCAAAAACCGGGATAAAAATCTATCTATGTTCTTTCCCGAGACTCAAACTATCTCCCTGCCAAATTTCATCAAAATCGGTTCAGTGGTTTATGCGTGAAAGCAAGACAAAAAGACAGACTAACAGACAGACTGACAAACAGACAGACAGAGTTACTTTCGCATTTATAATATTAGACTCCCGTTCCCGTGGGAATTTTGCAATATCCCGTTGTAACTAAGCTTTAAGTTTACTAAGGTAAGGCTATCTTACGCGGTTTAGATTTTTTCATATAAATGTTTTTTCCCACTAACTCCCGTTTCCGTGGGAATTTTCCAATATCCTGTTGTAACTAACCTTAAAGTTTACTAAGGTACCACCATGCCAAATTTCAAGCGTCTAGCTTAAGCGGTTTAGATTTTTCATACAAAAGGATTTTCCCGCTAATTCCCGTTCCCATGGGAATTCCTAAGTATCCTATAACCTGCCCAGGAGTATGAAGAATAATTGTACCAAGTTTCGTTAAAATCCGTCGAGTAGTTTTTGTTTCTATAAGGAACATACAGACAGACAGACAGACAGACAGACAGACAGACAGACAGACAGACAGACAAAAATTTTACTGATTGCATTTTTGGCATCAGTATCGATCACTAATCACCCTCTGATAGTTATTTTGAAAATATATTTCATGTACAGAATTGACCTCTCTACAGATTTATTATAAGTATATAGATTAGAACCTGCAATTGCATAAAGAGCCTAACAAAAGCCGGACAGGGCCGGACGAGAGAATATTGGCCGGACACGTCCTTAAAAATCCAAAGTGTCCGGCTGAACCGGACACCTGGCAACCCTAACCGGGGTCGAATTAACATAACTGGCTTGGGCCGCCCTGGCCTGCAATAAGATGAGTCGTTAAGCCGCGTCAGGAACAGGACCTATGGAGGTAATAACGGTAATTAGATGTTATTAGATTTGGTGGCCGTTTGGATACGGTATTAAAGCGTTCGGAACTTAGCGCATCGAGCGTCCGGGTGGCAAAAATCAAAATGTTAGTGTCACCTTTTTTAATGATACTGAGAATAAGCTGAGACAACAAAGATTTTGTCGGAATAAGTTTTGATAGAAAGATGAGAAAAATAGTGTTAATAAAAATTGGCATTTTATAAATACATACTAGCAAAATAGTATCATGAATGACGTTATTCCTTACCGTTAAGTTATGAATAGATAAATGTTATGGTTGGAAAATTGACTCCCTGTTTATTAAAAACAGTGCAGTTCCAAATTATTCTGGCTGTTTAAAAACGAATGCGAGTAGAATTCTATACTTCATAGGGTAGGTAAGCTGTCGTTCCGATTGAACTTAGTCAATTATCTAGACAACTCATGAACTGACTGTATCCATCTGTCCATCGAGCATTTATACATCTGTAATTAATCCACGCATATCAACCGCAGCAAACAACCCAACTTAACCAATACAGGTAAAAGCAAAAAACAAGCGAGCA